GTCTCTTCCCTACTGTCTCTTCCTTACTGTCTCTTCCCTACTGTCTCTTCCCTACTGTCTCTTCCCTACTGTCTCTTCCCAACTGTCTCTTCCTTACTGTCTATTCCCTACTGTCTCTTCCCTACTGTCTCTTCCTTACTGTCTCTCCCTACTGTCTCTTCCCTACTGTCTCTTCCTGCTGTCTCTTCCCTACTGTCTCTTCCCTACTGTCTCTTTCCCTACTGTCTCTTCCCTACTCTGTCTTCCCTATTGTCTCTTCCCTACTGTCTCTTCCCTACTGTCTCTTCCCTTACTGTCTCTTTCCCTGTTGTCTCTTCCCTGCTGTCTCTTCCCTACTTGTCTCTTCCCTACTGTCTCTTCCCTGCTGTCTCTTCCCTGCTGTCTCTTCCTTACTGTCTCCTCTTCTGTCTCTTCCCTACTGTCTCTTCCTTACTGTCTCCTCTTCTGTCTCTTCCCTACTGTCTCTTCCCTACTGTCTCTTCCATACTGTCCTCTTCAATACTGACTCTTCCGTACTGTCTCTTCCTACTCTCTTCCCTACTGTCTCTTCCCTACTGTCTTTTCCCTACTGTCTCTTCCCTACTGTCTCTTCCCTACTGTCTCTTCACTACTGTCTCTTCCCTGCTGTCTCTTCCCTACTGTCTCTTCCCTGCTCTTCCCTACTGTCTCTTCCTTACTGTCTCTTCCCTACTGTCTCTTCCCTGCTGTCTCTTCCCTACTGTCTCTTCCCTACTGTCTCGTCCCTGCCTGTCTCTTCCTATGTCTCTTCCCTACTGCCTCTTCCTACTGTCTCTTCCCTACTGTCTCTTCCCTACTGTCTCTTCCCTACTGTCTCTTCCCTGCTGTCTCTTCCCTACTGTCTCTTCCCTACGGTCTCTTCCCTATTGTCTCTTCCCTGCTGTCTCTTCCCTACTGTCTCTTCCCTACTGTCTCTTCCCTACTGTCTCTTCCCTACTGTCTCTTCCCTACTGTTTCTTCCCTACTGTCTCTTCCCTGTCTCTTCCCTCCTGTCTCTTCTCTACTGTCTCTTCCCTGCTGTCTCGTCCCTACTGTCTCTTCCCTACTATCTCTTCCCTACTGTCTCTTCCCTACTGTCTCTTCCCTACTGTCTCTTCCCTACTATCTCTTCCCTGCTGTCTCTTCCTACTGTCTCTTCCCTACTGTCTCTTCCCTGCTCTCTCTTCCCTACTGTCTCTTCCCTACTGTCTCTTCCCTACTGTCTCTTCCCTACTGTCTCTTCCCTACTGTCTCTTCAATACTGTCTCTTCCGTACTGTCTCTTCCCTGCTGTCTCTTCACTACTGTCTCTTCCCTACTGTCTCTTCCCTACTCTTTCCTACTGTCTCTTCCCTGCTGTCTCTTATTTACTGTCTCTTCCCTATGTCTCTTCCGTACTGTCTCTTCCCTACTGTCTCTTCCCTACGTCTCTTCCCTGCTGTCTTCTTTCCTGCTGTCTCTTCCTACTGTCTCTTCCTTACTGTTTCTTCCCAACTGTCTCTTCCCTGTCTCTTCCCTACTGTTTCTTCCCTACTGTCTGTTCTCTACTGTCTGTTCCCTACTGTTCTTGTCTCTACTGTCTCTTTCCTACTGTCTCTTCCCTACTGTCTGTTCCCTACTGTCTGTTCCCTACTGTCTCTTCCCTACTGTCTCTTCCCTACTGTCTCTTCCCTACTGTCTGTTCCCTACTGTCTTTCCCTAATGTCTGTTCCCTACTGTCTCTTCCCTACTGTCTCTTCCTACTGTCTCTTCCCTACTGTCTGTTCCCTACTGTCTGTTCCCTACTGTCTTTCCCTACTGTCTCTTCCCTACTGTCTCTTCCCTACTGTCTCTTCCTCTACTGTCTCTTCCCTACTGTCTCTTCCTAGTGTCTCTTCCCTACTGTCTCTTCCTAGTGTCTGTTTCCTACTGTCTGTTTCCTACTGTCTGTTCCCTACTGTCTGTTCCCTACTGTCTCTTTCCTACTGTCTCTTCCCTACTGTCTCTTCCCTACTGTCTCTTCCTACTGTCTGTTCCCTACTGTCTCTTCCCTACTGTCTCTTCCCTACTGTCTCTTCCCTACTGTCTCTTCCCTACTGTCTCTTCCCTACTGTCTCTTCCCTACTGTCTGTTTCCTACTGTCTGTTCCCTACTGTCTGTTCCTACTGTCTCTTCCCTACTGTCTCTTCCCTACTGTCTCTTCCCTACTGTCTCTTCCCTACTGTCTCTTCCCTACTGTCTGTTCCCTACTGTCTCTTCCTACTGTCTGTTCCCTACTGTCTCTTCCCTACTGTCTCTTCCCTACTGTCTCTTCCCTACTGTCTCTTCCTACTGTCTCTTCCCTACTGTCTGTTTCCTACTGTCTGTTCCCTACTGTCTGTTCCTACTGTCTGTTCCCTACTGTCTCTTCCCTACTGTCTCTTCCCTACTGTCTCTTCCTTACTGTCTCTTCCCTACTGTCTCTTCCCTACTGTCCTCTTCCTACTGTCTGTTCCCTACTGTCTGTTCCCTACTGTCTCTTCCTACTGTTCTCTTCCCTACTGTCTCTTCCCTACTGTCTCTTCCCTACTGTCTGTTCCCTACTGTCTGTTCCCTACTGTCTCTTCCCTACTGTCTGTTCCCTACTGTCTCTTCCCTACTGTCTCTTCCCTACTGTCTCTTCCCTACTGTCTCTTCCCTACTGTCTCTTCCCTACTGTCTCTTCCCTACTGTCTTTTCCCTACTGTCTCTTCCCTACTGTCTCTTCCCTACTGTCTCTTCCCTACTGTCTGTTCCCTACTGTCTGTTCCCTACTGTCTGTTCCCTACTGTCTGTTCCCTACTGTCTCTTCCCTACTGTCTCTTCCCTACTGTCTCTTCCCTACTGTCTCTTCCCTACTGTCTCTTCCCTACTGTCCTCTTCCCTACTGTCTCTTCCCTACTGTCTCTTCCCTACTGTCTCTTCCCTACTGTCTCTTCCCTACTGTCTCTTCCCTACTGTCTCTTCCCTACTGTCTCTTCCCTACTGTCTCTTCCCTACTGTCTGTTTCCTATGTCTGTTCCCTACTGTCTGTTCCCTACTGTCTGTTCCCTACTGTCTCTTCCCTACTGTCTCTTCCCTACTGTCTCTTCCCTACTGTCTCTTCCCTACTGTCTCTTCCCTACTGTCTCTTCCCTACTGTCTCTTCCCTACTGTCTCTTCCCTACTGTCTCTTCCCTACTGTCTCTTCCCTACTGTCTCTTCCCTACTGTCTCTTCCCTACTGTCTCTTCCCTATGTCTCTTCCCTACTGTCTCTTCCCTACTGTCTCTTCCCTACTGTCTCTTCCCTACTGTCTCTTCCCTACTGTCTCTTCCCTACTGTCTCTTCCCTACTGTCTCTTCCCTACTGTCTCTTCCCTACTGTCTCTTCCCTACTGTCTCTTCCCTACTGTCTCTTCCCTACTGTCTCTTCTCCACACTCAACAATTTGTATGGAATACAATCTTATTTCAAATATTTTTTTCAACTTCGGTTTCAGTTAGACTCAATACGAAGTATCTCTTCATCTATAATTTCCCTTATTTCTAGCCTTTTTTTTTTTTGAGATTACTCAATATATATTAGTGTAATAAATCTTCAAAAATGTATTATTCTTAATGTTGCCTTTTTTCCCTTTTCTTTTACATGATTTTCACGTAACTTGTGGTCGCTTCTTTGCAGAAACATTTAAGGTGTTTGTATCTCCTTACTCCTTAAAGAAAAAACTTCTTCCTCTTCTTTCCTCGTTCAACTTCTCAGTGTGTACTCGCCTAATTGTGGTTGCATGGGCCGAGATTCAGCTCTTGGCCCCGCCTCTTCACTGAACGCTACTAGGTCCTCTCTCTGCTCCATGAGCTTCCTGCTATATGACTGAAGAAATACTTCCTAACATGTGTGTGTGTGTGTGTGTGTGTGTGTGTGGTGTTGTTTTGGGTTTTGTGTGTGTGTGTGTAATTCATTTTGTTATTATTAGTGGTAATAATAACTCAGGCTTTGATTTCATGACTGAGGACGAGTGTGAGAGGGGCCAGGGCGGACACAGATGGATGCTCAACACTCCACTGTGTCAGAGGCCCCTGATGACACTCTTACTGGCGAACGAGGGTTAGGGACCCGAAAGTTGAATCTCAGACCTACTGTGCTTCAGGGCGTGGCTAACAGCCAGACAGTGACTTCAACAACAGATGTTTCAGCCAACTTGCGAGGCTTGGGCGAAAGTGGCCATTAAGCACCACTTTCATTTGCGTTAAGTGACGTAATAAGAAGTGCAATTAGGTCGATAAGGGAAAGGGGAAAGACCAGAGAAGTGAATCACTGGGTCCCCCTCGTTAACAACTACGTGTTAACGACTACTTGTTAAACAGGTGTCGTGGTAAACTTACACATTCACGCGTTATTTATAGTCCAAACAGGAAGTCTTTGACTTAGACGTGACGTTCCTGATTCTCCTGGCTAGATTCTTGCTCTTGGAGACGGAAAAGTCATGTGATACCCTGTTGGTTTGTGCTGGCTTACGTGAACGTTCTTAATGTATTGCTTATGCGTCTTTATTTGAACGTTCTGTCTCTCGTTTATACAATGTGTCTGAATAAATTCTTTTTTCATTATTTTTGTTGGATATTATCTTGATCAGGATGCTTACTTGCAGCGTTAGCTTCGTGTTTTGCTTGCATATTTTCTACTGACTCCTGTGTTGCATCATTATAGTTAAGTCATCATGCTGACTTTCAGAATGTTTTATTTGCATTTGCTCATCTGAAGCCTTGACTGGCGTGACAATCTTCTCTCTCTAATATAATCTTTAGAAGTGTACGTTTGGTATCATCTTAAGTCTTTCTATATTCGTTTACGTTAAGGTCATCATTGGACATGTCTACCAGCCAGTGCAAGAGAGAAATTGATGCTTCAAGCAAGCAACCTTTAATCTAGCATATTGCTAGCAAGATGGTAGTGTCTGTATTAAGATAAAAACCGTTTTGTTTTCGTATTTAATCTACAAAATATTTCAACAATTCTACGATCGACAACAATAACAGATTTACAAAGCAACTAGTAAACATCTATCAACATCTTTCTGTACTAAAATAATATTGTTCTGAGACTATGTAACAAATATACAATGTTATGAACATTTCACATCTCAAATGTGAATATTAAAAACACTCAAAATTATGAGTCGAAAACACACATGCTATACTAAGGATAAAAGCAGTGAGTTTGTTATCAACAGAAATCTGGTGGAGATGAGGAAGGTGGAAATCCAAAGATGAGGAAGCAATAAAAATAATGTTAAATAAGGCATATGTGCAGTACCTGAGAGTCTTCATTTGTGAGAGAGACTGCTCCATCTAGGCGAGTACAAATAGGAAGCGCGTCTGTCTGGCGCTCACCAGACGGAGGATCGAGCCTCCAACACGTCTTGCGCTGAATGACTCACTTGGGTTTAGCGCTTAACATGGATTAATTTAATTTTCCTGCACACGAAGCTTTGCTAATTTGAAACAAGAGAAAGAAGCTTATATAGGAGCTTGAATCACTGGTTCAACTGTATAAGCTATTGAAGTTCGGTCTGAATCACTGATTCAAATATATGAGATATTATCCACATCTCTCTATTAAATTGATAAAGCCTGCTATGCAAGAAACGTCTGTCACATGAAGGCGCCCAGATGTTGCACATGTGTGGCTTTCAACATCTTGTTAGTACCATATATCTTTGACATAATCAAGGATGAAGATGCTCAATAACACCCCACATGGAGACACAAACTCAGGAGATTAATCTTAATTTGACCCCTTCAAAATATACAGATCAATTAATCTCCTGAGTTATTGAATTCGTGTGCCATTAACAAGTTTTCATTACATTTTAGTTATTCAAGGATAAAAATAATGAAGGTAATAAAGAAAGAGGATTCTCCCGTCCTATGAGAGTAAAGCCATGGCGTTGGTAGATGATAAACAGTAATTTGCTTAAATGTATCCCAGAGTCGGTCGATGCAGGAGAGATGGATGGCCATCTAGCGGAGCGTGTACTGGCGGCAGTGACTGGTAGGGGAGGCCAGGTTTATAGGGCGGGTGCTGGGCCTCGCCCTCGTAAGAGATCTCAGCCACGAAGCCAGAGTCCCCTTCGACGTAGTATGTGACTTTCTGAAGGCGACCGTCGGGCAAGGGGACGTAGTAGGAGCCTTGGGTGTTGTAGCCGTCGCTGGCTTCTTGGTGACCGAAGTTGGCGCCAGTGTAGTCGTCCTTCACATCGTATTTAAAGTCGTACGCCACGGGGCCCTGTTGATGTCACAGAAAGGTCAGGTAGGGTCAGGAATCATGGAAAAGATAAACACTTTTAGGTCACCTAATCCAGGAGATTAGGTGACCTAGTCTATAATACAGTTTATAATACAAGGGGTAACAAGGCCGGGATTATTATTATTATAATCAAAGGGGAAGCGCTAAACCCGGAGGATTATACAGCGCCTGGGGGGGGGGTGGAAGGCATTCAGGCTTAATTTGGGGAACTGGAGCAGAGATCCAATTCCCTAAATCAAGAGCCCCTCACCAACATCAAGGAACCTTCCTTGAGGGGAACAAGGCCGGGAACATATTCATAAACTGTTGTTATAGAAAAAGAAAGACTTACTGTTTACCTATATCAGCAATAGACTCTAAATTCAATTATTTTTCAGTAATTCTAAGTGTAATTAATGCTTTGTCTCGGCAGAGGATGAGTCAGCACCGTTGTCTAAGTGATAAATTATTCACATGTATAACACTTCTGTATCTTTATCGTGGAAACGTTTCGCCACACGATGGCTTTCTCAGTCCAATACATTCTTCTACTTTCGCCACTTTGTGTCTAATTTATCAACTTGTAGGGTTTCTGAACCATTTATCCACAGTATTCTACACATATACGTTATATGAGATTATTATTTATATCTACGATGTAGATAATCTCATTATTCATGATACAGGAAGATAATCGTTCTGGATTACATTTTTCAAAACTTTCACTTATACACTATCTTTACTTCATCCATACTTCCATAAGGATAAAATTTATATATAATAGACAATATTTCGTACTGCAGGGCTGTTATGAGCACCACGAACACTGACTTGAGTGTCGACGCTTTCTGAATTGAGAAGTTCGGATAATTTTAACCAAGGTGTTGTTAGAGTCCATCTTTGATTCACCAAAAGTAAAAAAAAAATGGAAAAGTGACCAGAAAGAAAAGAAAATAAAGAAAAAACTACGAACATATTCTGGTAGAGTATTAAATGTATCTTCTTGGAAATAGATATTATTATTATGATTATTATTAGTAGTAATAGTAGTAGTATTTTCAACAAACCGGCCGTAACGCACTGACGTAGTGCGACCTAAAAAAGAAAAACGAAAGAATTCTGTTTCACTTTCCTATGGAGAATTTTTTTTTTCAACACGTCGGCCGTCTCCCACCGAGGCAGAGTGACCCAAAAAGAAAAAAAAAACTTAAAAGAAAGAAAAAAACTTTCATCATTCAACACTTTCTACTTAAAGTTGCCAAACACATTTTGTTAACATTAGCTTGTGTGTGGTAGTAAGTGAAGCTCAGTTTCTTAACCAAAATTGGGAAAAAAGTATTACGAGGAAAATTTCATGGAAAGAATAATTCCAGTACACTGCCAGATATTCTAGTCTTGAGAACACTGTGAACTGGGTGAACTGATCTTGACAGTCTCCTCACCTTCCTCTGCCATGACCTCACCTTCCTCTTGGCTTTTTCTCTCTCTTTCTCGTCACTCGTGACTTGATGATGGTAGAGGTGGGGCTAAAATTTATGGGTTAGTTGTAAATTGCTCCATTCACGACATTTCGACTTTTATTTTGTCAATGAGAAAATGTTTCAACATAGTTCTTGACCGCACATGGGAATCGTAAAGAACCTAAGATTGGAGAAGCACTGCAGCAGGTCTACTGGCCCATTGGCAAGATAGAAACTACTGTAGTTGATGAATAAAAGACCAAACCTTAGAGGGGCTATAGAAGTGGTTGATGCCACAGATAAAAAAAAAGACTGCATCATTTTTTTTTAATCTGTGAGTGATGTCCCTAGGTCAGATAGGTTTTATTTACAGGTGTTAGTGACAATGTTTTATTAAACCGGTTCAGTTTAGCACTAGCCCCCCTAAACATATACCAACAACACCATTCTTGGGTAACTACTCAGCGTGGAGAAAGAACTCAGTAGAAAAGAAAACGGGTTCGGCAGTATTGTAACAATACATAAGTTCAAATCCAATACGTATATGATACATAAATGTAGATTAATTAAAGTGACCGGTTCAGTGCACACTGGGAGAGTTATTTGACAAGATAGGTCTCGGTCAGTGACCAAAAGCTCCAGCTTCGCGTCTTCATATGACTAAGACCTGCTTCAGGAAACACTTGTCCTGTTTCCTGACAAACCTTAACTGATGTAACCATCTCTCTGCGAGGTACCTCTGGCTGCCTCGTTCGTCTCACAGCCGAGAGGACTGAGATTAAATACTAGACGAGATAAGAGAGACTTGGGCAATTCTCTAAAACACTTACTGCTCATGTATAGTGAGACGTACTTGAGGCGAACATTTCACCCAAACAGTGGGCTTCATCTTTTCTATTTGTTATTCGACAAAGCTCACTGCGTGGGCGAAACATAGCCAAAAAGAAAGTATTCCACGCAACTGCCCATGTTCCTCATTATCATCAGCTGATAACGTTACCCAGCAGTAAATATTTACCTTGGTGTTAGTCAGCTGTTGTGGGTCTCATCTTGGAGAAAGATCATTGAAGGAACCTCAGCTGAAGACAAAGCCACAATGCTTTGCTTTCTTTGGTTATCCTGGATTATTCATCATTCGAGGATACTAATACGAGTAAAAGTTCTTTCTCTTTCACCAAAACACTTCTAAAACCATGCATAACTTCCCCTCACTTCCCATACATATCTTCCTACCATGCACCTCCATGAACCAGCAACACCAATGCACAATCAAGTCACCTGTACTGAGCACCGTTCACCATGAACCATAACCAGCGCACGACAGTGCAACTACAGTGAAACCTTGCCTCACCCTGCCAGCTTGTTCCATGTGTTGCAGTATTCTCCGTTTAAGACTTAATGAAACTTTTCACAGCAATTAAAGCTTTCTCAGGTTACATGTCTTTTTACTAAAGCTTGTTACACACCATCACCCCCACTCCCCCTAATGACCCACTCACCCGAAACCATCGGCCCCATAACCCAAGCCACCCCAGAACCCCAATAACCCCAACCATTCCACCGCCCTCATAACACTAACCCAACCGCACCCCAATAACGCCCAGTCACACCCACACCCTGTAACTCCATCCACACCAAGCAGAAATAAAACTAATATAGAACCGTAACGAAAAGGAAGGAACAAGAATATGCTACGTACACTAACATAAATAGTTTGACATACAGGAGTAACTAGTTTAAAGACTTAGAAGAGAAGCATTCAGATATTCTGGTTATTGCAGCAATAAGTCTTCATTATTTATATATTAATGTGCAATGAAATTATAGTAAACAGGTGATATCACAATAAGCTGAACAACCACTGTGTAAAAATAGTGAACTTTGAAGTGCTTTCGTGATTTCTCGCATTATCTAGGAACTGAGAGAAATCACGAAAGCGCTTGGACGTTCACTGTTTTTTTTTTCTCGCAGTGGTTGTGTTGCAAATATTAATGTATGTATATGTATTCTTAGATTGTATAATTAAGTCTAATTTCCACCCTAACTTTTCCTTCTCTCTCGTATATACATAATTTTTGCGGTCACACTGTGATAGTGAATAAGTCTATATAATTAAATTTTTTCCTGTGTACGGCATAGCGCATCTACAAAGATGATAATTCCCAAGTGATAGTAACTGCAGCTATACTGGAGCGAACCCTTTGAAGTTGTCGTAGCTGCTGAACCTTGAATGGAATACCTTCTGGTAACTTCAGTGCTCTACTGAAGTCTTCCAGCTGAGGCAGAAAGATTCCAACACTGTGAAATGCAACCTTGGGTGGTGGAATAAGACAGATTAATATAGCTAGTCTCAGTTCGTGCTATGTAACCACCATATAGAATAAGGTAACGCATTGCTGGTGTAAATAAAGCGCGACAGTTACATTAGAAACAGATAATGTCAGCTAGCAGAATGTTAATTAACAGGTCCAACAGCTAGCAGAATGTTAACAAACCGGTCCAACAGATAGCAGAATGCTAGCAAACAGGTCCAACGGCCAGAAGAATATTAACAGACAGGTCCAACAGCCAGCAGACGTAATTAGGCAATTACAACACGGTAATTACACTCGGTTACACTCTTATCTTCCTGGTATTGCATAACGTCAAGTCCAGCTCTCTCCCCATCTGTCGTTCCTACCTCCCGTTCTCTGCGTCCGTTGCAGCTGCAACCTGGTTTTCCTGCGTAATATTGCTGCTACGTGCATAGGGGAAAACATAAACAGATTAACATAATTCACTGAATAACATAAGAATTTCACGTGTTTGCAATAGTCAAAACCGTGGCTGGAACAATTCATTAAAATTCCGCACTTAAAGAGACTTCTAATGGAGTTCCATTCCATCCTGGACTATTGACAAATCACAACTTGCCAGTGGTCCACGGCGGACCGAAACGTCGTCGTGAGGCTACTATGATAAGTGTTTGTTTTATAATTCCATGTTTATTTGTTAGTGTTATGAGAAGCTAAATCCCTGTAGATCATTCAACCCCAAGATATAAGTTGGATCTCTGTGGATCCTTCAGCCCCAAGATACCAGTTGAATCTCTGTGAATCAATCAGCCAAAAGATACAAGTTGGATCTCAGTGGATCATTCAGCCCCAAGATACCAGTTGAATCTCTGTGAATCAATCAGCCAAAAGATACAAGTTGGATCTCAGTGGATCATTCAGCCCCAAGATACCAGTTGAATCTCTGTGAATCAATCAGCCAAAAGATACAAGTTGGATCTCTGTGGATCATTCAGCTCAAAGATTAATGGAGGCTTCAGTTTATCTACGATAATCGCTACAAAAGCTGATTTTTTGTTGTATACTCACCTCGTCATAATCGAAGTCCGGCCTGTAGAGTGGAACATCTGGTCGGTGGATAGGGGCAGCGATAGGAAGAATAGGAGCAGGAATAGGGTGAAGAGGTTCGGGAGAAGGATGAATAGGGAATGGGGTGTTGTGGAAAGGACGAGGACGGCGGCGATGGGGGTGGATGGGACGAGGCTTGTGAGGAATAGGACGTGGGGTTAGGAAGGTTGGGCGGGGGGAGGGATGGACCGGTACAAGGGAATGATCGAAAGGTCTTGAAATAGAGTGGATAGGTCCTGGGGTAGGATGGAGGGGTCCTTTGGTTGGGTGAATAGGTTCTGGGATAGAATCAATAGGCCCTAGGGTAGGATAGAGAGGTCCATCGGTTGTCTTAATAGGTTTTGGAGTAGATTGAATAGGTCCTAGGGTAGGATAGAGAGGTCTTTCGGTTGGCTGAATAGGTCTTAAAGTAGGGTGGATAGGACTTAGGGTAGGAAGGAGCGGTTTTTTCGTTGGGTGAATCGGTCCTGGAGTCGGGTGAATGGGTATTTTTGTTGAGCGAATAGGTCCTGGGGTAGAATGGATAGGTTCCAGGACAGGATAGCCTGGTCTTACAGCAGTATGAACAGGTCTTGGTGTAAGGTGGATAGGTTGTGAGGTTAGGTGAATAGGGCTATATGTATTGTGGAAGGGCACACGAGAGCCAATGTGGATAGGGCCGGATGACTTCGGGGGAGGTGGTCTATAAAAATGGTCGAAATCGGGCTCAGTCGTCTCAGAATCAAGATACATCGAAGGGCTGTGAATAGGTTTAAGTCCTCCCATTGGGATAGGAGGAGAGGCATATGTTGGGCGAACAATTTCAAGATTGAGATGAATAGGATCTAAATCTGAGTGGATAGGCCGACGAATGAGGCGGACAGGAGTGAAATCATTGCGAAGCAAGCCGGAATCGGAATGGGTAAGGCTAGGGGTAAGCCGGATACCCCTTCTCTGGGCAGGAGGAGGAGCAGCGTGGATAGGAGCATTGAAGGATGGACCTCCCAGGATGTATCCTGTCTCAGGACGGGCGAGGCAGGATGCGAATACCGTCCCCAGGATGATCACCACCTGTGTCATTTATTAATACATAAATAATGACGTCATTCTTTTGATTCAGATTTTATCACTCATTCTACTAACTAAAAAAGACTTCATTGTCAAGAAATAATTACTAAATCCAAGAATTATTATATAAGTATCATGGACAATAGGCCTATTTTAAGTACCCTTGATAAAAAAAATCAGTTGTTTCTTGTATTAGATTCTACAGCTGGTGAGGGCTCTTGATTTAAAGAATTGGACCAGCGCTCTAAGTCAGTGAATTGAGTCTTATGATATCTTAAGACCACGATTGCAAAAAACCACGGAACGGGTGAGGTTAGAGCCCATGGCAAGAGTCGTAAAACTCCAGGCCAGTGCGTCAACCACTGGGCCAGCTGGCTACAATAAGATTCGTCCATATATGGCTTGAAACCCCACATACTATGGGTTTTCACTTTCTTATTGAGATTAATGCAGCACAGGAGGGGATACGGTACTTACCGTGGGTGGCATACTGAGGAAAGGATGAGAGAGCTCAGATGATGTAACTGTTACTGTCGCTGCTGCTCCTGCTGCTGCTGTTATCACTTCTACGAAACCAAAAGAATGACTTCCTTAACACTGAAGCCACTTGTATATATACGAAATCGGTGCTCCCTCCTTCCCCTCCTCACCGCCCCCTCCGTCTCTCATCCCCACCATCAACCCCATCTGCCTCCCCCACTGCTTCATCCTTAAGAACTCGTGTGAAAGGAAAATGAGTGGCGGAACCTGTGTGAAGTCAAAACATCTGTCTTAATGGTGTATTTTTGTAAACGTTTTGTGTGTGTGTGTGTGTGTGTGTGTGTGCGTGTGTGTGTGTGTGTGTGTGTATGTATGTGTGTGTGTGTGTGTGTGTGTGTGTGTGTGTGTGTGTGTGTGTGTGCGTGTGTGTATGTGTGTATGTGTGTGTGTGTGTAAACTTGCATGCTAGTTTGTGCCTGCCTGAGTGTCGAGTGTTCGTATCTTCGTACCCGTCTCAATTATTATTATTATAATCTGGAGGGGAGCGCTAAACCCGTAGGATTATACAGCGCCTGTGGAGGGGGGGGATGTGTGGAAGGTATTCAGGCTTAATTCAGGGAACTGAAGCACAGATCCAATTCCCTAGATCAAGAGCCGCTCACCAGCATCAAGGAAACTTCCTTGTCTCTTGTCTCCTCAAAGATCATGCAACCAGCTGAGCTACCACTTACCACTACCACGAGTGTCCTCGGATCATGAACAACACCTAGTTCTGCTGGGTGCGTGATCTTTGTAGGATCGCTGGTTAGATGGTTAAGGCAATGTGAACGTTGTTCCGTCTCTTGAGACGGGAGAATGTGTCGCAGGATCTAATCTCGGCGCATATTATATATATATATATATATATATATATATATATATATATAATATATAATATATATATATATATATATATATATATATATATATATATATATACCAGATAGGTAAAACCTGCGATTTTGGCTTAAATAGCAACGCTCTTCTTGCCGAATAAGGCAAGCGAAAATTTTGTATATAATAATTTCGCAAAAATCGACCCCATTGGATACGATCATTTTAGCCTTCGCATACAAACATCAGCGACGTATTTTACTTTGCCTCCTCTTCATGTTCATCCTATATACTACTCTTCTTTTCACCCCCGGAGAGCTCAGTGATTCCTGTTTGTTCCCTTTCTCTGTCCCTGCCAGAAAATCAACATTACTGCAGACTAGTAGTAATAGTGGTGGTGATGGTGGTAGTAATAGTAGCAAATGAAGCAACAGTACTAATAGCAGCAGTAAAAGTAATAGTGGTGGTAAAATAGTAGTAGTAGTAGTAGTATTAGAAGTAATAGTGGTGGTGGTAGTATTAGTAGGTGAAGCATCAGTAGTAATACCAATAGTGTTAGTATCAGTAGTCTTATTAGCAGTATTAGTTTAGTAGTAACAGCAATAGTAGTAGTAACAGTAGCAGTAGTAGTAATAATTGTAGTAATACCACTATTTCCATCATAGATGCTCTCAATTACCTTCCAAGAAAAAAATAACTATAAGATTCGCGTCTAATTTTTTTTTAGTGTTATAGGTTAGGTTAGGTAAGTAACCCCGTGATAGAAGGTCACACCTGAGTTGTTTTTCCACTTGCCAAAAGAGTTTTTTAAACACCTATTGACTTTTCGTGGTTTGACACACATTCGTGTGTGTTGGAAAGACGTTTGTTGATTGTAAAAGAAAATGGGGAGGGTTGCACAAGCCGAGGAAATACAGTAACTTTTCAGTTGCCATTTAATTAGGTTCACCTGTCTCATTAATGTAAAATCTAACCAGTCATGTGGTAGCATCTCAATACCGAGGAATGATTGTTGATGCCAGACAGACGGGGCAGTTTGAGTATCTCACAAACTGCTGATTTCCTGGGATTTTCACCCACAACAATCTGTAGAGTTTACAGAGAATAGTGTGCAAAACAAAACATTATGTGAATCTCAGTTCCGTGGGCCAAAACGCCTTAACATTGAGAGAGGTCAGAGGAGAATGACCAAACAGGTTCAAGCTGATAGTAACTTAAATAATCAAGCACTACAAGTGTTATGTTGAAGAGCATCTCTAAACGCATAATACGTCTAACCTTGAAGTGAACAAACCATACCCCGGCCGGGATTGAACCCGCGGTCATAGAGTCTCAAAACTCCAGCCCGTCGCGTTCTTGAGTCATGTTGAAGTGAACGGGTCACATCAACAAAAGACGATGGTAACCCGTGGTTCGGTTGGTAGTACACTAAACTCACATACCAAGTGTCCGTGGATTGATCCCCGGCATAGGTAGAAATGATGGGAATGTTTCATTTCACCTGTTGTCCCTCTTCACCTAGCATTAGGTAGGTACCGGGGTGTCAGTCTACTGTTGTAGGTCGCATCCTGGGTGGGTTTTTTTCACAGCTATCCTTGCCTTCAAGACCCTTCCACGACAGAGAGCCATGGCTGAGGTCAGGGAGCTATGGCTGGGTCAGGGAGCTATGACCGGGTCAGGGAGCCGGGTCACCGTCGCAAAAGACCCGGCCCAGCAGTTCCGGCGAACCAAGAAGAAGAACTGTTTCTTGGATTATCAAATTCTTTCCTCGTATTGAGAATACCGGTAGTTTTGGGACAACTAGTAATTCTGAGTGTTTTTCATCATTAGTTCTCAGTACAGATTTAATAAACTAGACGTCTCAGAAGGAAATAGCAATGCATGGGATAAGAGAAGGGAAAATGTGTTGGCTCAGTGGTTACGTTCCCGAGGCTGTCTGTCAGATGTTGGCTGTCAGGTGTTGAATCTCTCTCTCTCTCTCTCTCTCTCTCTCTCTCTCTCTCTCTCTCTCTCTCTCTCTCTCTCTCTCTCTCTCTCTCTCTCTCTCTCTCTCTCTCGTAAAAATACACCAGTTCCCGCATAGATCAAAGAGCATTTAAAGTTAAGAGTTAATTTGCTAACTCATCTTGTTTAACAATTTGCTCACACCAACATCTTGCTGCTAATTTTTAAATGTATATTTTATTTAACGTAAATAATCATACGTAAAGGTAGAAGTTTCTTCCATGGATTCCGTACAATAAATTCTTCTGATAGGATTCAAACCTTTAACCTTGATGCACTTGACTTAGAGGAAGGATCGGATTGTTATTGGTCTATGGAGGTACCACCGGCCAATATTATTTAGAAAAAATGTTTGGTAATATTTCTCGTTTTGATAACTCAAAAAAGCCTCTTCTGAAAGGCTTCAAACTCTAATGTATTTAATCCCAGTAATGGTTTCCATTAGTTTTAGAATTAGTTTTAGTTTTAGAATTAATTTTAGACGGAGATTCTGCCAATTTCCCGATTTAATAAAAATCTGGGAATTACTGATATAATAAAAACCTGGGAATTATTGATTTAATAAAAATCTGGGAATTACTGATCTAATAAAAATTTGGGAATTACTGATGTTAAAAACCGGGAATTACTGATTTAATAAAAACCAGGGAATTATTGATGTAATAAAGACCTGGGAATTATTGTTTTTCCGCCCCTTAAGAACTCCTTCATATATTCATGACTGGTAAATTTTTCGCAAAGGGAAGTTTATATTATTGATAAAACTGCGTAAGACACAGTTTGAAGGTTTGAACTTTCAGATGTTTGAACTTTCAGATGCTTGAACTTTGAGACGTTTGAACTTTTGAGATTTTTGAACTTTGAGATGTTTGTACTTTCAAATGTTTGAACTTTCAGATGTTTGTACTTTCAGATGTTTGAACTTTCAGATGCTTGTACTTTCAGATGTTTGAACTCTCCATTTTAATTACCTTTATGGGGCAGACCGCAAAATTTGTGGGTCTGAGCATGTGCTTTTCTGCGCGTGTCATCCTACTCGTGCAGCACATCGAGATTCCCGTTCTTTATTTCTGACCAATCACAAGCCTTCCCTGAGTTGCTTCAGCTAAGTGGTGACATCCTGTTCTTGCTTCCCATTGGATAAGACACCAAGATGTGGCTTGGTGTCGCCAAGATTAACATTTTTTCATCTAGTGAGACTCAGATACCCTTGGATTTTATCCTCTACAATGTTGGTAAGTACTGATTGTTATGTCTAGTGCATAAATGAATATGTTTAGGCATATTTGATATATATATATATTATATATATATATATATATTATATATATATATATATATATATATATATTATATATATAATATATATATATATAATATATATATATATAATATATATATATATATATATATATATATATATATATATATATATATATAAAGGCCGTGTGAATCACAATATGAGTGTACCATGCAAATGAAAAAGTGCAACATAAGAGGCCTTAATAAATGTTGGTCTGCCCTTTTAGGGCCAGTTTTAAATTTCAGTAAATAAATATTTATAAAAAATATTTATATTGCTTATATGAATTTTATAGTTGTCTGGACATGTACAGAACGTTTTTATTGTCCTTCCAGATCAATGAGAAATTGTTTTATGTTGAGCCCTCCAACACCAAGTCAAATATGTCTGCGTTTTGGAGGAAAGTGACTCACAACTGGAGGTAGATGACCCAGAATTGCTTGAAATTGGCGATGAATACTTGCCACTGGATGCAGAGGTGTCAAGTGATGATGAGGAAGAAATGCAAGCCAAAAAGCGAAAAGTAGTCAAGAAAAAGAAAGGTATTACGATCGAGGAGATGCTAATGAAGATATTCATGATGAGCTTGTTGTTGACAGTAACCCCAGCTGGACCTGCGGTGACACCCATAATGACCCTTTGCCTTCCATTCTAGCAATTAGTAATATAGAATGACTTTTCTTTCTCAGGTAATTCAGGAATGTGGGACTTGAAAATTTCATCCCTTTGCAATGTGTCAATGTAGCAATTTGGTTTCTTTTTATGTTTTTCTAATACCTAAAAAATGTTTGGATACAAGTTCCATTGATGTTTCTGATATTGTCTGTTTGTATAATAAATTAAAAAAATAGTTATTTGCTTTTTTATTAACCATTGCAAGTTTGCAACATCCAAATTTATACTCCCCTAAATGGGCAGACCATAA